TGCGCTGCCTAGGTGCATGCAGACTCGGACAATCATTCCTAAAATGACCTATTTGCCTACAGTGATAACACGTTTTAAGTGGTGGTCCCGGGGCCCGAGCTGTGAAAGGGTCCAGGGGTGCTGGAATAGGGTACCCGCCAGGGGCAAACTGAGTTGCAGGGTCAGATAAGGAAAACATTAAAGGATTGGATTTCTTTTGCAGGGGCAATTGGATCGACTCCAGGCCTTTAGCGACCAGGAGGAGAGTATCCAGGGGGATAATCCGGTACTCGGGGCGGGACAGGACCAGGCCTTTCCTTATGGGTTCCTTAAGGCCTGCAACGAAAGCAGCTGACAGCATCTGGGTGTGGGCCTTATTACATGTGTTAAAACCCAGATCAGAAAAGGTCTGATTCAATCTAGAATGAAACCTCTCAACCGTTTCTGATTTTTCTTGAATAATATCAGCAATAGAAGTAGCCTGGTCAGCCAATTTATCTTTAGCCCATGCACGGAGTTGTTCACAAAATGTGATACCAGACTGAAAATCCGTGTCTGTAGTGACACGGGCATCATCAAAGCTCTTTTCCATTATGGGCCAGTGTAACGGATCACCTGGCACCCCGACTGGGTACCTCCGTTGAAGGATGCTCCTAGCGCTTCCTGAGGACTCCAAGCACTGCAGCAGACACCAAAACCACCGAACCGTAGGAGCATATGAATACTGCCAAAGCATAGGAATGCTGTAGACAGTTGAATAGGAACCATACGAATAGGTTTACTCTCCTAGCAGTCAAACTGGAACAGCATACAATAAATCCTTCCCCCAATAATGAGACGACACTTCACTTTGAGGGTTAAAACAGGAACTCCCTGTACTGTCACATACAGTCTCTTTTATTCCCAATCCACAAACATAGTACAGCCCACAGGGCGTTACAAAACAACCAATCAATCCGTACAATACACCCAGACACTCCCACACAAAATCCTCCCCTCTGCATGTGATATGATTACTGAACACAATGGGTAATCTCATTATCACCGGCAGAGGAATACAGTTTTCACACAATATTTATAACTTCTAAAATATACATGTCACAAACATAAAACATACATTTTCATAATCAATCCATTCAGGGGAACAACATATTAAAAAATGGCACGAATCAGACCAGGGGTTCAAAAGTTAAGGGAAAGTCCTTTGTGACTAAATGAAGCATGGCTTTCTGGCCCAAACCAGTTTCAGAGTCTTCTATCCTGGAGATAGTAATTCAATTATCTCCCAGGACAGACACAAGACTCCATTAAGCACATGGTTGCAAAAGACACAAAACACTTTAAAATACATAAAGTCACCCTTTACACATAAGACACAGACATTCACATATCCCCAGATAGCTGGGATCTGAGCGCACAAAACTACCAAATAGCGCTCAGATCCTATTCACACAGTTCAATTGCCATGGAGCCGAAGTCTTTAACTACACGAATGGGCTCCATGGCATAGCTATCTGGGTTAACACATTCACATAAAGTCTGGTCCATAGTCCAAAGGCAAGAGGCGGGCAAGCAGCCCCCTCCAAGGACACGTGGCGAGGCTGGTTTCGCCACAGCCAGTAAGCATCCCCTGCCTTAATTTCACACAGACTAAACAAATCGCGCCATGCTGCAGAGTAAGTTTTACGGATCTGAACAATCCGACGGAAAAAGGGCATGGGCTGTTTCTCAGGGTCAGGAAGTGATTGTACCAGTGTTGCAGCTTGGGACGGGTTGAAGGTAACATACATCAAAGGGGCGCCTTCCTGATCATGCTGGGCACTGCAAGCGCCTGCTATAGGAATGTGAGGCAGATTAGTTGGGGTCTGTGGAAGCTGTGCCTCCTGGACACTGCCATCGGCAGCGAGAATGGGAATCTGTGGGCTGGACACACGAGCCATGTCAGGAAGAACTGAAATCGGTCCAGCCGTAGTACTGGCCGCAGGGTGATTAACTGTAGTAGTAATGTGGGCTGAATCAAGTTGTGAGGCAGGGGGAGAAGTGACTGATGTAGCAGTGGAGGTAGCAGGATAATAGCCTGATGCTGCAGGGGTGGCAGCAGGAGGATAGCCTGATGCTGCAGGGGTGGCAGCAGGAGGATAGCCTGATGCTGCAGGAACAGTGGATCCAATAGTCATAATAGGGAAAGATACACTGGGGGCAGCTATGAGAGGGGCGGGAATGGAAGAGGTTACAGAAGGGAGGGAGGAAGCGACCACAGGGGTGTTGGTAGGGGAAGTTGCCATCATGGAAGGGATGGGTGTGTTAGAAACAGGAAATGGTGACAGTGAAAGGGCAGAAGAGAAGGAATCCAAAGGAGAAGTAAGGGCGGAAGTTATAGGGAGATGTGAAAGGAATTGGGCGTGGACAGAAGCAACAGGAGTTGGAAGAGAGGGTGTAGCAGCAGAGATGGGCAAGAGAGGAGGAGGCAAAGAAACAGGAAGGGAATGTGTGACTGGGATTTGGAGTGGAGAAGGAGAGGGGGCTGGAAAATAACATGAACCGTCTGCCTTAAGGACAGGGTACAAGGCAGCAGGAGCTGCAGAGAGGGTGCTAACATGAATGGGCTGTGTGGGGGCTCCAGAGGCTGGTTGAGCCACCTCCCTTTCTGGCCAGGCCTTATCATATGGAGGAGGGCTGGAAACGCCTGCAACAGATTCAACAAAACAACCTTTTTCATGATACACAAAGACTTTCTTCCCCCCTAGGTCTATCTCCTCCTCAATCCACCCCTCCTTCTTAATCCCTCGAGCCACCCGATACCAAGCATCTGCGGCCTTCATTAACCCATTATCTAACAATATCCCATGTTTATCGTGTAAAAGTTTTCTCCAGTCTTCCGCCTGCAATCTGCCACCGGGGGACATGGTAATACCACATAGTTTAATAATTTTCGTAAGTTTGGCAACAGCTAAGTCCCCAGCTCTTTCCTTTACAAGATCACAAGCTAACCGACCGCGGGAGGGGTCAACATGAGTCTGACCCATTGATACACTACAGTAGTACTGGATAGAGAGAAGCAGACCCTGGACCAAAAGAGAGTGAGAGACAGAGAGAGAGAGAGAGAGAGAGAGAGACTGAGGTAGAGAGAATGAGGGAGCGAGAGAGTGGGGGAAGAGTGTGAGAGTAAGGGAGACAAAAAGAGTGAGAGAGAGAGTGTAGGAGAAAGTGAGCAAGAGGCTGAGGGAGATAAGGTGAGAGGGAGATTGAGAGAAAGAGAGGTTTAGGAAGAGAGAGAGAGGGATAGAGAGAGAGGGAGACTGAAAGAGAGAGAGAGACTGAAAGAGAGAGTGTAGGAGTTATAGACTAAGGGAAACGTGCATCAAGCGTCACATGTACGTCCTAGCAGAGCACAGAGAACCAGAGTGATGCAAAAAAAAAAAAGTCAGCAACACAGACTCCAAGGGAAGGAGGGAGGGGAGGAAGTGGCGGGGGGGGTGGGGGTGGGAGGGTGAAGCAGAGTTGCAAGCACAAAGTATTTAACCATGTAAGTGCCTAAGCACAGCTCTCCTTAGTACAAAAGATAGAATAGGAGAGCGACAAGACACAGATAAAATATAGAACAATTAACATATACCAAAAAAAAAACATATACATGCAAAAGCACAATATACATGCCAAAGCACAATATATAGATGCAATCAAACCACAAAGTCCTTAAAATCAATGCCGGCTTATAATAACTCAGGTCACATACATAGAAACACGCAAACACACATACAACAACTTAACTCTTTGTTCGTTGTTTTTATTATTTCAACAAACTAAAACTAATTACGCCAGTTTTGTATTTCCCGCAAATTTAATGTTAATATAATCCGGCCTGAATCGCCAGGTTTTTGCACCCTGAACTTAAAAGAAAAACAACAAAAGAAACGCCAAGATTTAATATTAAAATATTAATATAATCCGGCCTAAATCTCCAGGTTTTTTTTTGCACCCTGAACTTAAAAGAAAAACAACAAAAGAAACGCCAAGATTTAATATTAAAATATTAATATAATCTGGCCTAAATCTCCAGGGTTTTTTTTGCACCCTAAACTCAATCGCCCGTTTTTTTCTATGAACCCGACCTCAATAATCAAAATAAAGTAAAACAGATTCTCAAACAGACACTTTCACACATAAAACTCACACTCAGGACTCAGGCTGTAGATAGACAAGTGACAGGTTCTATACAAAAGGGGACATTCGGGCATATATATATTACCTATCTGAAGACGTTAACCACAGGAAGCCGAATGTGAAGGCACGGAGAATAAGCGAAATCCAAAGAAAGGAAAATATAGGTAAGTAACTCATTTACCATATGCAGAGGTGATCAGGCTCCGTTTCCAATCTCTGGGAATCCTTTGTTCTCCTGTCTTGGAAAAGTTATATGGCTTCAAGTGGAGTAACCACCCTTTCAGTCCCTGTTCGGGCGCCAAATGTTTTAGATCAAAGAAAACTTTGATAATTTGTCTATCTACACCTTCCAAATTGATTGATTAATGCGTGCACGCTTTCCCTAGAAGTAATTCACACCGGAGTTTCTGATCAGTGAAAAACCAAGGAATGCTTTATTCCCCGGAGTGGGGGCTCCTTCTTAAAGCAAAAATACGTCACAGTTTAAACATACAGTATACATTCAACAATTGGTTAACAGTCTAAGGGGTCTTGTCTAAACCCCCCCTACAGGATGTAGTGTCGTCATTACAGACTTCTCCCACCTATATTGGATACATGATGGGAGGGGGAGTGAGTAGTTTCTTTCAGTTACTTTAACAGTGATTCTCCATTTTGTTACACGTGGCATATAGCTGTTAACTGGCAAAAAGGAAGTGGGGGAGGAGTTAGTAAAGGAAGCTGTTAACACAGGAATTTTTTGGTTACACGAGGCCTGCTCTGATGGGAAGGGGGATGCTAGCAGGATGCAAGGAATTTACAGAGAGAAAATAGTGCCTGAACACATTGTAGGGGGGGAGGGAATATTTACTCTAGCAGCCAGTTTTAACATAGTGAACACAGAATAAATAGACATTAGTAAATAGCCATTTTATTTTAATTCATCTGTCCATAACACATGTGTGGCAGTGTGTTTATCAGCATGTCTGTTAAACTGTATGTATAGTAGTGTTGCCATCTGTTTGTCTGCAGGTGTGGCAGTGTTTGTACCTATGTGTTTTTACATTTGTATATGTGTTAGTGTGTGTATAAGTATGTCCGTGCAAATATATGTATGTCAGTGTGGGTATATGCATGTATGCAAGTATGTGCATCAATGTGTCTGTTCAACTGTATGTGTGTCAGTGTTTACATCAGTGTATCTGCATGTGTGAAAGTGTTTTTGCCTGTCTGTACATTATGTGTCAGTCTGTGTGTCTGTATCTATGTGTGCCAGTGTTTTCTCATTGGGTATGTTTATGTGTGTCATTGTGTCTGTGTAACTGTATGTGTGTCTCTTCATTTGCATGTGTATCTGTGTCTATGTATCTGCATGTGTCAGTGTGTATCTGTGTTATGTATCTGTATGAGTTTGTCATTCTTTGTATCTGTGTGTTTGCATCTGCACGTGTGTCAGTCTGTGTGTCTGTGTATCCACATGCGTGTATTTGCACTGTGAGGAGCCTGGAACAGAGAAATGGGGGAGATGGGATGGAGAAATGCATATACATTTGAAATAACCGCAACTATAATAATTACAAATATTTCGCTAATATAAAGGGTACTATATATGGGAATGGGCTGCCAAGAGAAAAAAGGTTGTGAACCACTGTTGTAGAGGATCTAAAGTGTGCTTATGGAATGTAGTGTATAGGGATACTAGTTTGTGTAGGTGATGCAGTGTGTTTTTTTTGTGTAAGGGATAGAAAGCAGTGTGTGTTTGTGTGTAAGGGATATAGTGTGTGTTTCTGGTTGTGTGTAAGGGATGCATTGTGTGAATCTGTGTTTGTATGTATAAGGGATGTTTCTGTGTATGTAAAGGATGCAGTGGGTTTGTGTAAGGGGTGCATTGAGTGTGTGTAAGGGATGCAGTGGGTTTCTGTGGATGTGTGCAAGGGGTTCATTGTCTTTGTGTGTAAGGGGTGCATTATGTGTGTGTGTGTGTGTGTAATAAATGTATTGTGTGTTTCTCTGTGTGTATAGGGATGCATTGTGTGTGTGTGTGTGTGTGTGTGTGTGCAGTGTGAAATAGAGAGTTTGTGGGTAGGTGGACCCAGCCCCTTTTTGCTTATCTTTCCCTCCTTCCTCAGTCTCTCTCCCCTCTTGTCCCTTAGAGCTCTCCCCTGCCCTACTGTCCCTTAGTGATCTCCCTGCCCCCTTTCCCTTAGTGCTCTCCCCTCCTGTCCCTTACTGCTGTATCAGAGGGCTATAGTCAATGCAACAGAGAGTTGTAGTCAATGGAGTATATTCAAAGCATGGGCCTGTCACCAGTGGGGTACCTCAGGGATCTGTACTTGGACCTATTCTTTTTAATATTTTTATTAGTGATATTGCAGAAGGTCTTGATGGTAAGGTATGTCTCTTTGCTGATGATACTAAGATATGTAACAGGGTTGATGTTCCAGGAGGGATAAGCCAAACGGCAAAAGATTTAGGTAAACTAGAAAAATGGTCAGAGTTGTGGCAACTGACATTTAATGTGGCTAAGTGCAAGATAATGCATCTTGGACGTAAAAACCCAAGGGTAAAGTACTGAATATTTGATAGTCCTAACCTCAACATCTGAGGAAAGGGATTTAGGGGTGATTATTTCTGATGACTTAAAGATAGGCAGACAATGTAATAGAGCAGCAGGAAATGCTAGCAGAATGCTTGGCTGTATAGGGAGAGGTATTAGCAGTAGAAAGAGGGAAGTGCTCATGCCATTGTACAGAACACTGGTGAGACCTCACTTGGAGTATTGTACGCAATACTGGAGACCGTATCTCCAGAAGGATATTGATACTTTAAAGAGTGTTCAGAGAAGAGCTACTAAACTGGTTCATGGATTGCAGGATAACACTTACAAGGAAAGGTTAAAGGATCTTAACATGTATAGCTTGGAGGAAAGACGAGACAGGGGGGATATGATAGAAACATTTAAATATATAAAGGGAATCAGGGAAACGGTAAAGGAGGAGTCTATATTTAAAAGAAGAAAAACTACCACATTAAGAGGACATAGTCGTAAATTAGAGTGGCAAAGGTTTAAAAATATCAGGAAGTATTACTTTACTGAGAGGGTAGTGGATGCATGGAATAGCCTTCCAGCTGAAGTGGTAGAGGTTAACACAGTAAAGGAGTTTAAGCATGGAAAACAGAAAAATAAATAAGGTAGCGAGGGGAAATGACGGGGGAGTTTAAGCATGCATGGGATATGCATAAGGTTATCCTAACTATGAGATAAGGCCAGGGACTAATGAAAGTATTTTTAAAAATTGGGAAGACTAGATGGGACGACTGGTTCTTATCTGCCGCCACATTCTATGTTTCTATGTTACTGCTGTATCCTGCCCCACTGTCCCTTATTGCTCTCCCCTGCCCCCAATCCCTTAGAGCTCTCACCTGTCCGTTATTGGTCTCTTCTCCCCCACCACATCCTTTATTGGTCCCTCCTCTCTCATGCCCCCGCCCCCCAAGTGATCTTCCTGCCCCCTTTCCTATAGTGCTCTCCCCTCCTGTCTTTTAGTGCTCTCCCCTCCTGTCCCTTAGAGCTCTCTCCTACCCCCCTGACCCTTAGAGCTCTCCCCTGACCCTCTCCCTCTCCTCCCTCCATGGTCTCTCTCTCCTACCTCCCTCCCTTGTCTGTCTCTCCCTCCCTTGTCTATCCCACCCCCCCTTCCCCTACCTCCGCGGTACAGGGGCTTCTGTTTCATGTACCCGGCCAACTGACAGGTAGTGCTCACTTAGTTAATTAAGACTCATTTTTATTATATTTGGAATGGGACAAGCCCAATCTTTTAATTAAGCCTAAACATGATTTGCACAACTTAAATCGTGTGGCAGGGATTGTGATATCTGCTATATTGGGTCACCAGTAAGCAAAGTGATATGTCTATGGATAGGGAAAATAATAACGAATTCATAGAGGCAATTATTTCTGTTGCAGGTACCTAAGAGAAGAGCAAGCTAAATGTTTCCATTTGGATTCAGGTTGGTCTGGAACAAAGGAGGTGGTCACTTATTATTTCTATAGGTACGCCTTAACTCCACCAGTGAGCAAGACTTGATAATACACAGGGTATATATCCAATGATTTGGAGGGATGTTGGTGTATTTGCTTGGGGCCCTGGTCTAATTTTGAGTGAGTCACCATCATCCTTCCTTGCCAGAGACACCCTGGGCAGAAGTTTTACTTTGAAAACCTAAGTGAATAATTAGGACTTCTGTTATTTTATCCTTTTTTGTTTTTATCTGTTGGTGTAAATAATTTATCATATATTTTTGTATGCACTGTGACTATTTTTTGCTCATAATAAACATTAATTTATTAAGTTCTGCCTTTGTCTGATTAAGAATCACATTACCTGAAGAGACTCATTAGTATTTTGCAATTACATAGATATTGTGCTAAATAATATTTGATGGGTTTTTATTATTGCTTTACCTGGGGGGCCAAGACACCCCGTTTATAAATCGTCTTGGTGGTGGTGGCAGCGTTAAAATAGTGTAACGGCCACCCTACTAGTGGAGGGGTTTCCATCGTCAGAGATGTCCTTTCCCCCTAGAGTAGAGAGCGCTGAAGTATTCCCCACCATCAATCCAAGCAGTGAAGTGTAGGCGTAGCTGTGAAGCTCTTATAAGAGCTAATGATATAGCACGTCCCTACAAAAACGAGGCAAGGCTCTATGTTGAGGTAAGGCAGAAACTGAATTTTAATGGTGCCACACTGGCCTTTTATGCAAGTCCCAAAGCAAGGTGTACACCCTCATGGACCTTGTTGGGGACTGGGACACAAAGCTTACAAACCAATCAGAACAGTAATTAAATGTATGACAATCCCTCCTCTCTTATTAGAAACACCTCAGTGGGAAAGGAGAAACTAAGTTAAACAAGTAAAACTAATTTACCCTAATTTAGCAGTAATTTGCGTGTAGAATAGGACTCCTCCGGGTCCTCAACAACAGAGAATACACAATACCAAGAAACCAGTTACTACAATGCAAAAAAGAGAAAACATAGGGCAATATTGCCGTATACAGAATAATATTGAAATTTGTAAAGGTGCACTCACAAACCCCAATTGATTGAAGGCTTATCAATATGATGGAGACTATCTTCATATCCATAGCACAGCATATAGGAGAGAAATAAAAAGATAATGGTGCAGAGTTTCTATGGCAAAATCAACCTTTTAATAAACATTGCACTTACAAGATAAAATCAATTCATAGGCACATCACCAAGAAGTAGCTCAATATAGGAAGCAGGAACTCCCTCAGAGATGGTGTAAAAACGTGAGGTCCTTCTTGTAGCGCCAGGAATAAAACTGTATAAAATAACATTGAAAAAACTCTGAACAACATAAGAACTAAAGACTTTTGTGTTTCGTTCAATTACTGAATTTCCTCAGGGGCAACAAAGTAACAATATCTCTCCTTGTTCTCCTTCTCGATGAATAACAGACCATGGTGCGTTTAAGTACATGTGGAGATTCCCGTGGGTTGCAGGCAGCCTATTGGCACGAAGCTCTCACAGCTGTATTCCATTCTGCTGCGATGTGTGTTTCAAGCCTCTTTCACGTCTGGAAATTTTTTGCCGTCGGCTGTATGATGTCATCATTTGCCGCCAATATGCGGTCCACGGTCGTGAATGCATTCCATTAGCATTCCGGAAGTTAAAAGTACATATATTACAAGGTGAAATCGATACAAAGATATATATTAAAAATACAAGCTCAATCATCAACTACATGAGAGCAAAAGAAATATAAACAAAAAATAACACTGAAAATGCCATATGTATATATAGACATCAAAAGTGTAGTGTACAGCCATAGAACTGAAAGAGAGATGGTTGCAGGATGTGTGAATATGCTAAAAAAAATGAATGAATGAGAAGAAAAATGAATGAATGAAAAATTACAATCTCTGAAAGAAAGATAAAAACTAAATTAGTCACTAATAGTTATATTATTATGTGAAAAATTGTGAATATTCAAAGTGACCACAAATATGGATGAATACAATCCTAAAACATAAATAAAAGAAAAGACCATAGGGTAATACTGTTACACTTTACAGTAAAAAACTCATATTATCGTTTTAACTCACATGCTGCTGAGCCACTTATAGAAGTTGGCTCAGACTAAAGGCTTCAAACGAAGGATATAACAGGTACATTTTGCACTTTATTTGTGTGTGTGTAGAGTGATCCACACAGGTGATAGTGTATATATTTTTATAGTTATATTATTATGTTTAAATGTGGGTGGTGCTAAGGTGGATTTTGTCATTATTTCCGGTCTAGTGCAGATAAATAGTGAGCTTTAACCCTTTCACCACTACAACGATGTCACGCACACTCTTGGAGTAGGGTGCAAACATGACACCGATCATACCATGTGCACTGGCGCCTCTGGGCCGCCTGGAGGTTTTCTCGCACCAGATGGATGAGTCCCTTCAGGGGGGCTCTAAACGCCAACTCATATGGGACGATGAGGGGCCCTTCCTGATCTCGAGTTCCCTCCCAGTGTTCCCGAACTAGGTCGAACGGGGAAAACCCAGTAGATTCCTGGGGCACCTCCCGGTAAGCAAACAGGAGATGGGACAGGGATTTCTCCCAATCCTTGTGAGTCGCTGTAAAGGTACAGAGCATTCGCTTCAGCGTACCATTCAAACGCCCGCACAGGCCATTGTTCTGGGGGTGGTTGTCAGAACTTAACTATCGGCTTCTCCGACACTTCCGGGTTCACGGACCAATGACACTCCCCCTTCTCTGACGCGGCTTCCTCACGCTACTAAGAGGAACCACGCCAGATTCAAAGTGCTTGGTTATTTTGAAGCTTCCTGAACTTCTGACCGGCTACAAACAATCTCTCGCTAAACTTCTGAACATGTACCAAACCTGGACTGTTCATACCGTGGATCTCCATCCACCTTCTATTGACCTTGGATTACCTTTGGAATACTTACTGCTTTGTGAAACCTTCCAAGTAACGGCAAGTTATAGATTTGGATTAATCCTCCTACTGGCACTTCAATACTTACTGCTTAATTATTTTCCGTGCCTCCTTAGTTCAATCAGTGGACAAGCTATCTACATATTATATTCTTTAAAGCTACATGAACTCTTTTCATCAAACCATCTACATATTGTATTCCCTAAAGCTACAGGAACCTCCCTACAATGCCTGTACATTCTCCTGATGAGGTGGTGGATGGTCTCCTGAGGGATCTCCTCCCAGAACTGGACTAAAGCATCTGCCAACTCCTGGACAGTCTGTGTTGCAACGTGACGTTGGTGGATGGAGCGAGACATGATGTCCCAGATGTGCTCAATTGGATTCAGGTCTGGGGAATGGGCGGGCCAGTCCATAGCATCAATGCCTTCGTCTTGCAGGAACTGCTGACACACTCCAGCCACATGAGGTCTAGCATTGTCTTGCATTAGGAGGAACCCAGGGCCAACCGCACAAGCATATGGTCTCACAAGGGGTCTGAGGATCTCATCTCGGTACCTAATGGCAGTCAGGCTACCTCTGGCGAGCACTTAAAACATTCAATACTGGAGCGCTTAAGATTAAACAATCTATAGGGGCAAAAATATAGATTTAATTTAAATTGTGCATATATTAATTTTTACTTTTTATACTGCCAGCTACCACACTTCAAAGTGATCCCTTCACCACATATCAATTCAAGAAAAATTATATTGTGAAGTGGAGCGGTCTTTAACTGCAATACACCCCTATCCCACATGCAGTACAGTTAGCAAGTTAAAATATACTTATTGTATTTCTTGCTCAATGATGTCCCAATTGTTATTCAGCATATACAAAAGGAAAAAATAGAGTGATCATAGAACAGATCTGTTATATTAACTTGCACTTCTATGAATAGTGCTAGAGATCACATATACTTGTCAAATCAACTGGATATTAACGAGTTTATTACAATCATAAAACAGATAGCAAAGTTAAAAACAAGATAAATTAAAATACAGATACAGGACAAATCACTGTTAAGTTAATATGACACAAGACGGCTCATTATGCATCACATAGTAAATGTCTAGAGATGGCTACAAAGCAAATGGCTGCTTACTAGAATTGTTGGTGAGTATAACGGTATGTGTGCCCGTTTACTCACAGTCTGGCTTTCCCACACTGGGAGATGTCTCCTGTGTTGAGGGGTTGAGGGAGGTCTGATGGAGTTCCTCTATGTTGCCGCTCGGGTGCCGTTCAGTTCAGCGTGTGATTCAATTTTACCGCTCTCAAAACGCCCGGCTTCAAAATAGGCTCCGCCTCCTTTCTCAACGTGCTTCCGTGTTGTCTACGCGTTTCTCCGTTCACAGACGGCTTCGTCAGGACGTCAAAGTGCTTAGTCCCTCCCCATTTTCGGGGAGTTTTTATACACATTCTCCTATTATGTTGATTGTTTTTAGGTGCATCACATTTACATATATATGGGATTCAGATCAGCAAGTCAATTATTAATACATGGACATCATATGTTTCCAACAGAAATGTCCCTCTTTATCAACAAATCTATACATACAATAAATACAGT